TCAACCTTTCTACAGTAACCGGACAAACGCCTTTGACAAAGGATTTTGGTCAAAATAAGAATGAACGTTAATTAAATCATTTCCTATTATATGTTTTACCGTAAGAAATTTATTTTTGGAAAGGTATTATTATAATATTCACTAATGGCACGCGAGTTAAGACAACTCTTTGAATTTAACAATACAAGCTGCCAAGTGGCTACCTTTTCCTTATATACGCCCACACTTCGAAATTTTGTTTCCAAACAATCTGAACTTCTAATATTGGCTTCATCTAGATTGTTACTAAATCTCGTGATTTTAATGACTTCTTGTTCTGATTCTAAAAATGACATCGTATATTGGGTTTCTTTTATCATAAAGAGCACTCGCCCTTCCGAAACCGCAAGACACATGACAACATGCTTGCCTACATATTATATATTTTATATTATAAAGTGTATAATATATTATTACTGACAGTACAAACTAGAAACTGTGTGGGGTTCAATGCACGAAGCCGTAGGCTGGACTGACGCTAGCCAAGGGCCAATAAAGCGCGCAATTATTAGCCATTCCGCAGACTAGTCCCAAGTCCTCTGTGCACGCTTTCGATTTCCGTGACGTCACCGAGCGAAACGCGCGCAAGAGGACTAGCACAAAACGTTTTCTAGCCTGCAAAGCAGGTGCTCGCGGGCTTGGTAAATCCCGTAAATATTTTCCAATATGGCGGAATTCCAGAATATATAAAATTGTATAAACATGGAGAATATTTATAGGTAAACGTGAGTATTAAAGATATTATGGTTGTACAATGTAAATAATAAGGTATTATAATAACTTCTTTCAGGAATGACGTAAATTTAAAGTAAATTGTAACATTTTTTTGACTATATTTAGTAGCACCCTGATCATCATCTGTTGACTGAGTTCACTAAGTGCATCTCACCCGATAAAACTAACTGTTGAAAGGTTTTGTAGATAAATATTTTGAGTGTAAAGTTTATACATTTATGAGTCTTGACCAAGGGCAGTTGTGAAAAATGCAACTACAGGCCCTCTGGCAGGAATCCAACCAGCTGCACACTTACTTTTGTATATATACATGAACGTGTAGTTAGAGCTTGACACCTGGACTTTGTAGCTTAGAGCACTGGACCGGAACCGCAGGTTTGATTCCTGCTAGATGGCCTATAGATGCATTTAAATAGAGAGATCTATGCCCATATTCTAAAAGCTTGCTCACACTCGATGAATGGAGGTTCAATCTGAGCTTCTCTTGAGTGTCAATGCTGTTTTGGAATAGGGAAGGTAAGTAGTCACTGAGTACGAGGTGACACTAGCCCTCCAGCTGTTCAAAAATAACATTGACACTCAAGGCAAGCTCAGATTGAACCTCCACTCACTGAGTGTGAGTGAGCTTTTAGAA